AGCATTTCAAACAGGGGGGAAACAAGATGAAGACCATTGAAAGCATCTGTCATAAATCCAGGGAGCCGACCCTGTAGTCAGAGAGAAGAGTGGGCTCTTCCACCCAAGCTGTCGTGGGCAGAGAGCGTGAGAACCTGTCCGAGTCCAATGCAAGGGGCAGGGGGGCGGCTTCAGAGTGACCCCTGCAGGCCTGATGGAGCGCACCTGTAGCCTGAGGGACCAACCCAGACTCCCAGGCACTGGGAAGGCAGAAAGAAAAACTGTGCTATGTTTAGGATGGAAAATCAAAGTGAACTCGCCAGGAACAATGTTGCTTCTCTATGGAGAATGAAACACACACCTTCCTTGCTTGACATTCAAAGCCACCAGGACCTGACCTTGCAGTGTCCAGGATCCAGCTACAGCACTGGCCCGCTGGGCCTGGAGAGAGCACGCTATGGACGAACCTGTGTCCTCGCCCCATATAGAGCCCTTGAAGCCCCAACCCGCAATGGGATGGTCTTGGGAGGTGGGCCTGGGAGGGGGGGTTGAGTGGGTTTAGATGCCGGCATGAGGGTGGAGCCCTCAGAATGGGATGAGTGCCTTCAGGAGAACACATCAGAGAGTTTCTGTTTCTCCTAGTTCTATAAGGACACAGAAGGAGGAAGGCTTTCTCCAGGAACCGAATCAGAGGATATCCTTGAACTTGGACTTCCCCACCTCCAGAGCTGTGAGAAGTCAATGTCTGTTGTTTAAGCCAACCCCGTGCATGGTCTTTTATGTTACAGCCTGAATTAAGACACAGCAGGTGTCCGCAGTTCTAAGCCTCAGGTCCTGCTCAAATCCCACCTTCTCCAGGAAATCCTCCCTAGTTCTTCCAGGGAGAATTTCAATCTCTTCTCTACAACACCCTGGGCTTCCGCCACAGCACTTAGCACAGATCTTCCCGGAAATACTGACAGTTAGGAATTCATCTGCTCTCAGGGAATCTTCCCCAGCAACGCCCTCTTCAGTCCACTTCACTCCCTAAGCCAAACCCATCTGAGGCAGGAAGTACTCGTGCTGTCCTGACAGGTCATTTGATTTGCCTCAGTGTGAACACAGCACGTTCACGTCAGGACAAGTTCCCGGTTATACAACTCCCTCTCTTCCCTTCCCTTTGGCCCAGCAATGTGCCCTGGTTCTTAAACCCTGCTTGTTGGGGCGCATGGGTGGCTCAGTGGGTTAAAGCCTCTGCCTTCGGCTCAGGTCATGATCCCAGGTTCCTGGGATCGAGCCCCGCATCAGGCTCTCTGCTTAGCGGGGAGCCTGCTTCCCCCCTCTCTCTCTGCCTACCTCTCTGCCTACTTGTGATCTGTCAAATAAATAAATAAATAAACATCTGATCGTTGCACTTGACTCTCTGAGACCAGTTCTGCCCCCACTTCACTACTCCTCCTCCCCGAGAGCTGCCAGGAAAAAACCCAGAAAATGTATAATCTTTCAATAGAAGTACATTCTGTGCAATATTTGGGAAATCCGAAAAACTATCTGCTATCAGTCTGCAAATTCAAATTTAACAGGATGTTCGGTATTTTTACTAGCTAAAGCTGGCAACTTTATTACTCCCGAATCTCATCACCAAGTTACCTGTGAAAGACGCCTGTGTCCCATTCTTACGTGGACACCTTCCTGAGACCTAGAAGCTCAGGGCCGCGGTCCAGACACCAGGGCCCTTCTTGTCACATTGCAATTGCTTGTCTGGCTGGAGTGTCCAGGGTCATGCACTCTGCCCACTGCTATGGATATCTGCTGTCAACCCCACTCCGAGCTCATCCAGCTCTGTGGGCAGGTCTGGAGCCAGCCCGCCCTCTGGGCTGAATGATGATGGCCTGTCTCGTCTTGCTTCCAGAAAACCTTATGCCTTACTGGTAGCTGCCACTGGAGTGTCTACCTGTGTCCCACAAGACTGGGACTCCCCAAAGGGCAGGGGTTGTTACTCAAGGCAACCTACTCCCAGGATGCGTTACACGGTCTGTGCTTAAAGAAATGGCTGTTAACCTAAAACTGAAGGACGATGTTACGGGTTGGATTAGGTGTGTGCCCCTCCCCCACGTCCCCCAATGTCCAGATATACATTGAAGTCCTAACCCCAGTTCCTCAGAATATGATGTGATTTGGAACTAAGGTTGCTGCAGGTGGAATTATTTACATTAAGATGAGGTCATACTGGAGTCGGGAGTGTCCTTAATCCAATAGGACTGATGTCCCTATAAGAAAGGAGACACGGCAAGAAGGACGCCATGTGAGGGCAGACAGAGATTACAGTGACGCAGTGACTAGCCAACGAACACCTGAGGCCACCAGAAGCCTGGAGGTGGCAAAGCTTTCCGCCCCTACAGGCTCCAGAGGGAGCACGGCCCCCCGCAAATGACAGACTCAGACTTCCAAGCTTCCAGAACTGTGAGACAATGGGCTCCTGTCATCTGGCGGAACTTTGTTTCCTCAGCCCTAAAACGCAACCCCGGGACTGCATTAGGGAGGAACTGACAAAACACAAAAACAGGAAGAATAAGGACCTAGAAGAGATGGAGGAATCCTTGGGAGTCCAACGGAAGGGGTGAGCACGAGACAATACTACCATAGCTAACTTCTTTACATTCTGTACCAACGTTTTCTCAAACAGAAATAAAACAAAACGTCCCTTTGGAAGTCCCAAGTGGTGTGATTAGAACTCCAGGAGTCCTGTGGGACAGAGGCTAGACAGGAGGAGAGGCCATGATCCCTGAGAAATCCCCCATCGCCTGCACAGAGGTGGGCACAGGAGACCAAGCTCAAGGTAACAGAGGCAGGCCAGAAAGCCTCCCACAGGAGGGCTGCCTTGGGAGGGGCGTCCCGGTGGGGATGGCTTTGTCGGGAGCTAGGGCTTTCCTTCTGTTTTCAGAATGTCAGTACTGTAACATATTCTTTAAAAAATGAGCACAATGTCAAACATTGTTCAGACTTCATTTCTCTGTTAATCACCCCCACGTTCCATGGTACCGTCACTGGCTTATGGGGAATAAGTGCCACCCGTTTTGGATCAAGTCAAGGTGACCTAATTCTGAGCCTCATCGGGCAAACAACTACCTTTGCATAGTTGTAGGGACGTGAATTCTCTTGTCCCTGTAACTACTGATTACATTTCAAATGAAAACTCCATATATAAGCTTTCAGAGAAGCAGGAACTGGGGATAACATCAGATATCAATCAAATCAAATCATATCCTAGATAATTAGTGCCATCCACTCTAATAACTGGAGGCCAGTCTGCGTTGAAGGACACCAAGATATATTCCCATTTATTTGCCCACAGAACTCCCAATGTAATGACGGAAGCTTCCAGCATTGCGCAATAAATAATCACAATGAACGTTTACTGAGCATTTACCATGCACCAAGGACGAGGCTAACATTTCACGTAGATTACTTAATATAATCTTCACATCACCCTTATGAGATAGTTACTACAATTCCCCACTTACAGATGACGAAGTAGAGGTTTAGCGGGAGGTAATTTGTGCAACTGTTAATAGAAGCGAGATTCAAAAGATACCAACGTGTTCATAGTAGACACTGTGCAATTACTAGAAGCCACAGAACTGGGGATGGTGTTGCCTGCCATGGATGGGCAACACGCTAGCAGTTGTGTACATCAGGGGTTATTTTACCATAAAATTGCCTTTTTTTTTTTTTTTTCAAAGTTATGGATGGACATTGGGAAGGAAATGCTATATATATTCCTCTCATTTTATAAAAGAAAAGACATTTTAATACCCACAAATGACGGAGGTAATTTACTCTCCTTAAAGGAAACTTTAAGTGAAATAAATTTAGTTTCATGTACAACTTGGAATACTATTCCTATTTTCCTCATTTTGCAAAGGACAGGTGAGAATGTGGTCACGCACTAGCATGAGTTCAAGAACTGGCAACGGGTGTGGGGGGAGGTGGTACTGCCCAAAGTTCTTGCTTAAGAACTTTGGGCAGCAAGAGCCAGAGCCAGAGGACACTCAGTCCTATCTGACTCCAAAGCCAGTGACCCTTCTGTTGAGATGATCTGTCTTTGCCTCAGGCATTTCTTCTGCCATTCAAGAAATCTTTATTGAGCACCTACTAGGTGCAGGGTGCCAGATTCATGCCAAGGACACAATGCATCACTTTCCTCCCTTTCTCTCTCACCACCTCTCTTTCCTTTGGCTGGTCTGATTAAGACCAAAAACTCACTCCCATTACAGCTCAGTTAACCATTGTCTTGTTAGGACAACTTGACCTGGTCGCCGTTGAGGAAAACGATCCACATGGAAACACTACAACACAATGATACTCTAGGATCCCTTTTTCTAGTGTTAAGTATTGACTCTAGAGGCCCTTAGGATAGGAAGAAATTAAATGATTTTTATAACGTCACCAAGACTTCCCAATCCAGAGCTCAGAGGAAAATAATCTCAATGAAGGGCCTCTGACTGGCTCAGTCAACACAGCATGCAACGCTTGATCCTGGGTTTGTGAGTTCGAGCCCCACACTGGGTATAGAGATTATTTAAATAAAAAATTTTTTTTTCAAAAGATCTGAATGAACATCTTTCTAGTCACAAGGTCCTCTGATAAATGATCAGGTCACAGCCTATAGGCCTAAGCTCTGCCTTCCATCAGTAGCTACTATTATCACTTTAATAAAACCATGTTTCTAGAAACTGTTCTATTACAGTGAACCACCACAAGTAGAGCAGTCAAGCTATTTAAAAATACAAGCAAAAGTTAATTATGTAAAGTGACTATCAAGGCATTTTAAATTAACATTCATAGTCTTGAACAAATGAGAACATGCCAGTGAGTGCATTATATATAACTATGTTACGGCCTACATTTAAATATTTCTGATTCTGAGTTATTCCTCTATTTTTTTTTTATTACATGGATAAAATGAGAAGTATCCGGGAAGTTCCAATTACTCCACTCATCTTTCGTGGAATATTTAAAAATGATTAAATGAGACTTACTGTGTATTCTGGTCCCAGATGTTCATTTGGACAGGAGAGAAAAGAAAAAAGAAACAAAATGATGATTTAGATCATGCTTATATGCAATATAAAACCGTGGAACTAATAAATACTGGTGAATTATGTTATAAATATGCGAAGGAAATATTCCAATAACTGAACTTTCATAAATATCTGCTCTTGAAATCTTTTCAGCAGATACTTCTGTGGTTGGGCAGACAAGGACTGTAGACAAGATTCAATTAGCCTATAGGTTTGTGGGTAATTAAAAACCAAAGAGTTGGTATTATAAAGGCAAAATTAAAGACTAATAATTCCATTGGAGCATTTCATTAACCACAAAGGAAATCTTTTAAGTGGGAAAGCAGCTTTTATAAGCAGTAAGAAGAGCTTGTTATGATGACATTCAAGTGCAATCTTGAATTTTCATGTTTGAGGGCAAGAACAAAACCTTCTAGATTTGGGGGCCCAAGTTTCTAGATCAGTATCAATGAGGAGTTTATCACCATCCCATTACATGTGAGAGGGAAGGTGAACTAAAAATTATCAGATTATCCCACTGCAAAGGAAGGAGTTTGGAGCAGAGAGGCCCAATAAAACATTTTACATAAATTATAAGTCAAGGTTTGGAGGTGTAGGGGTGGGGCTCTTGTGGAGGAGGGGCTGTAAAATCAAAATAAACAACTTGTTTCTTATTATCACTAAGAGGAGTTTCACCTTCCTTCTTTGTAAGCTATTTACCACAATCACTTTAAAAAGGAAGGTGGAATGGTTTAATTCCTACCTGCTAGGAAGAGCATTGACATAAAAGGATGAAGGAAAAGGGTGATGGGCAGATACAACAGGGCTCTCCCAAGTCCCTATTTGGATAATAAATCCTAAATCAGTGAAATTTGGCTACCACTAGGTCCTATCGCTACATGTGACACACAAGTTATAAAAAGGACTTACCTGTAATTGTGTAGGGATAATAGTTCCAAGCCTTTTCTGTAACATAAAAGATTTTGGGAACAACAGCTCTAGCCCAGCTAGGCAGTTTGCTAAGAGGAAAGAAAGAAAGAGAGAGAGGGGGAAAAAAAAAAAAAAAAAAGACCATTAGAAAAAATTTGCCCAGAGCCTCACGGATCAACTGTTAAGAGAAAGCAGAGGTGCTCCTAGGTGCCTCTCTCTCCACAAGTCACCCCTTCCCAAAGCCCCTGGTCTTTGCCAGGGTTCACCATTCTCTGTGTATTGTTCATATGCTCGTAAAATGTGGGAGGGCAGGTGACAATAGCCTGGCGGTTGGGAGAGGGGGTTTCCATGGGACTGTTAGCTTTTCCTCTTTGATTTGATTTACAAGGACATGAGATTTCAGCGCGTGGCAGGTGCCCTGCTGGGAGGGTTTGGCCATCCTGGCCTTGGTCTCCTAGGAGTCATATGGCAGAAGTGGTGGGACGGGATATTTAAGCCCCAATACGGAGGGGGACAGAGGCAAATGGTAGAACCAGGCATCTGCTTAACCATCTACAAGACTGAGGTGTTAAAAATGAACTAAAGCGGAACTAGAGGGTATCATGCTTAGTGAAATAAGTCAATCGGAGAAAGACAACTATCATATGATCTCCCTGATATGAGGGAGAGGAGATGCAACATGGGGGGTTAAGGGGGTAGGAGAAGAGTAAATGAAACAAGATGGGATTGGGAGGGAGACAAACCATAAGTGACTCTTAATCTCACAAAACAAACTGAGGGTTGCTGGGGGGAGGGGGGTTGGAAGAGGGGGGTGGGGTTATGGACATTGGGGAGGGTATGTGCTATGGTGAGTGCTGTGAAGTGTGTAAACCTGGCGATTCACAGACCTGTACCCCTGGGGATAAAAATGTATGTTTATTAAAAAAAAATTAAAAAAATGAAGTAAAGCAACAGACAGAATTGTAGAGATGTGAAGAATAACAAAATTTAGCCCCTTGATGACTGCAGCCCATTGACTTGTGTCCCCCCTCAAAGATCTATCCAAGTCCTACCCCGCCCCCTACCGCACCTGCGAATTTACCCTTATTTGAGCAGCAGGACTCGTGAGGGTGTCATTAGGGACCTAAAGGGGGAATCCCCTTGGGTTTAGGGTGTAGGCCCTCACTCCAGGGACTGGTGTCCTCCCAGGAGAGAAAAGAGGGAGATCTGGAGACAGGGACACACAGAGGTGGTGGGGGAAGCCACGTGAAGACAGAGGCAGACACTGCTAAGAACACCAAGGATGCCGCAGACTCCCCAAGCCCAGAGGGAGGGAGGGCAGGCATGGCCAGCTTCTCCCTCTGAGTCCCTGTAAGGAGCCAACACCACCAACACCTTGATTTCAGATTTCTGGTGTCCAGGGCTGAGAGAGGACACACCTGTGTGGTCTTAAGCCACTCCTCCACACTCTCCAATCCCACCCCACCCCCCATCCCGCCTTGGGAGCATTTGCTGGGGCAGCTAAGCAGGAACCTGGGCAGCCAGTGGGAGAAAACCAATTCTTAAAACAAAGAAAACCCCCAGGGGTGCAGGTCTCGAGCCTTTTGTAAACCAAAGACTAATGAAATCTTGTTCTCTTTTGTTGTTTTCCTTCAGAGACAAACCCTACAGCGTAGTACAGGCCCAGAGAATTCCCTAACACGTTTAAATACATAGGATCATAGATTCTTTAAATATGCCTGTATGATTTTACGTCCCCCCAGCGCTATGCCTGGGGCGGGTTGTGTCTTTCTGGAGGCTACTAAGGTACTTCTTTCCTCTTCTAGTGCCTACAGCGGACTCTGGGCCTCCGAGGCCTAGCAGCGCTCCAGGCCCTCGGATGACGACGCAGGCTCGGCTCCTGGAGGCAGCCGGTCCACAATGAGCATCACAGAGCACTTCTGAGTTCCCAGCCGAAAGCACTAGAAACCGGGGACATCGTGCTACTAGAACCCCAAATTCCCCAACCCCTCTCGCACAGGGAACTTCAATGAGAACCAGAGCCAGAAAAATACTGTGTATCTTGTACGTCTTCTCGGATTATTTCTATTACTTCTGACAGTGTCCAGGACCTGCTTTTAAAAAGACAAATCTGTGCTTCCAACGGCTGGCCGGACCTAACCCAAAGCTCTGGGCCGTTTAACAGGGTTAAATCAAATGGGGACTCGAAGCTCCCAGGAAGCAGGGTGAGTGTCAGACGAGGCCACGGCTCTTGGGCGGGCTGGGCAGCTGGAGCAGGGAGCAGGTTTATGACCTACAGAACAATCCTCGTGGCCCTAAGGCAGAACGTCTCACCCCTAGAAAATCACTGGGGGCAGGAACTGCTCATTTACCTGGTGCTCCCATGGCTCGAAAGGAAGGGGCTGCTTCCTGAAAGGGGTTTTTATCGCTTTTACCTTTGATTTATTCTTCTGGTCGCTGGAGCTGGACAGCAACCAGGGTTGACATCTGGAGTGGGAAGTTCGCGTTGGGCTTTCTTGCGGGAAACGGGCATGAGAGCATCTTCTCCTGGGCTCCCTCCTTTCTGCCCCCCAGCCCAGGGCGATGTTGGGCAATGGGAACTGTAGGAAGACGTGGCTTCTGCTCACAGGCAAGTGGGCCCCTTGTGCTGTTAGTGGACTGAACCAGAATTGCAGCATTTCCCCCCAAAGAAAGCTCGGCATCCCTTAGCTTAGACTAAGTGTGATGTCTCCCTACAGTCATCAGGACCCATCCCCCACGGTCCACACTGGGGGACAGGTTCCACCTCCACTGCATCCCTCCGCAGATGTAGTAGGCTCCTCCTGCATAGAGCTCTGGGGGCCCTCCCTCAAGAAATCACTCCCTCTATCACTTAAAAATCCTCCCAGCAGAACCACATTCCTAGGCAACAAGCATTTTCTGGAAGGAGGATGAGAAACAGTGGGAATTTTCCATTCATGTTGAGACTTTATTCCTGCTTGTCCGCAGTCAGGACCCCCATCTCCAGAATCTTCTGCGTGGCTCATCACCCAAGTCCTTGCAGGATATGCAGCCCCACAATCAATTACCTTTTCCAAAGAGACGCCCTAAAAAACCCACACCATTCAGTCAAGATGGCTGATAACCATTTTATGTGACTCTTCTGGGGGTGTCCCGGAAGGGGACCCTCCCAGGATAAGCCATCCACCAGGCCAGGAGCAGGAGGCGTCGGCAACAAGTTCCAGGACACGATTTAAGCCCAAGAACAGACTTTCTCTCAGGCCCCACTCTGCCCAGAGCACACCATTATTCAAATCGTTTTTGTCTGAGGAAGTAAAATTTATTTTTCCCTGTGGCAATGATTTATCAGGGCTGCAAAGGAAAATGGAATTAAATGAGTCCCCGCTGTTGCTGTCACTTTCATGATGTATATTGTCACACAGCCTACAGTTCTGAGGAGAAGTCTGTCACTCAAACTCACTACCAGGTGTCAGACAAGAGTCTCTCTTCCAGAATGGTGGCACAGTTTGAATCACGTCCTCTTGGTCCACTGCCCAGGACCAGACCTCCCGATGGCCTTCGTCACCGCCGCTCAGGCTTTACAGACACCGAGGAAAAAGGCGGACAGAACTCCGAAGGCTACAGAATTGGGAAACATGCTGTTGTGGAATGATACTGTTTCCCAAAAGCTTTTGTCAATACCCCCAGAGACAGATGTTTCAAAACATCAGTTTTTTCCCTTTGAAACATCAGTATGATAGAGAACACATCAATGACCCAGCCGGGTGGCCACCTCGTCCCCGTCTCTGTGAGACTGTCCTACTTGCAGCACTGAAAGTCCCTCCATGTTAAAGAAATTCCTCAGTCCTGGGCAAACCCCGATGCTGGTCAACCTAGAGCAGTGGTTCTCAATGGGGCAGAGGCCGAGTTCTGCCGCCCCCTGCTTCCAGGAGAGGACATGGGGCCAACCAAGTCTGGAAATATTTTTGTTTGTCACACTATGAGGTCGTGGAAGGGGGGCAGGGACACTGCTGGCATCCATCGGGTAGAGGCTGTTCAAGATCCTACAATGCTCAGGAAAGCCCCCCCACAGCAAAGAATTATCTGGTTCCAAATACTAACAGTGCCAAGATTGGGAAACCCGGCCCCGGACGTAAGTGGATATAGTCACGGCAACCTCCTTACGTGTCCCCTAGGCCTCCCTCAATTACAACCGGCCTGGGTAAGGAGGCCCCATCAAGGCAGAATCTGAACAGGTGTCAGGTTAAGAGTGTTTACTGACTCCCTACAGAGCGTCCAGAATGGAAACCTAAACTGTCCCTCCATTAGAAGCTTCTGGCACTTTACTATCCAGATTATCACCAGATTCGTCCTGATATCTAATCTCTCTCCGCAATTTATGCTCATTTGGGAATATTTTTTTGGCCCTGGGAAGTACTGAACATCATTAGGCCAAATGTGGTCTAAATGGAGTCTAATTTCATTTTCTCAACAGGGATCAGAATTATGATGGTCTCCACGAGCATCTTGATCTTAGCTGTTGTATCTGCCAACTCATGCAGGATATGCAGCACTATAATCAATTATCTTTTGGACTTAAAACATTCCCAGCAGAAAGACAGCCCCTCCGAGCCCCCGTCACTCGGGATTTTCTCCTCCGCAGGGTCCCTGAAAGCTGCCGCCGTCTGTGCTGTGATTTTGCTCAAATACCGTCAGTCCACTTAACGTGACTTTTAAAAAAGGACTAAGCTACTACCTCTTAGTAGACCTCATTTTCCACGGGTCCACGGGGGATATTCTGACCTTTGGTTTCACACCTGGCATTTGACGATTATTTGATAATAATCAATTGTATCTACCCAGTGACCTGCGAGGTTTTTACTTTTCTTCTCCAGTAGCTGTGATTTATTTGCTTACTATTCTTAATGGCTTTTCTGGCTGCTCTTCTAGTTCAACTCTTTTTTTTTTTTTTTAAAGATTTTATTTATTTATTTGACAGAGAGATCACAAGCAGGCAGAGAGGCAGGCAGAGAGAGGAGGAAGCAGGCTCCCCGCTGAGCAGAGAGCCCGATGCTGCGGGGCTCGATCCCAGGACCCTGGGATCATGACCTGAGCTGAAGGCAGAAGCTTA